GCTAGGGGGCGCCCGCAACAGTGACCGAGGCCGCGGGCCCGCCTCCCGCGAGGAGCTTACACCTCTGCAAAGGTAGCTAGCTGCTTGATGGCAGCGGGGAAACCAGGCGGACTCTGTCTCGCGCTCTCACTGTTCTTTTTAAATAGTTTGTTGTTAATGACTGCTTTGAAACAGTCTGAAAACAGGAATTAGGTTCTAGTATCAGCCTGGTTTCTTCCTTGGTGCAGAGATCTCGAGAATGAGGCTCTGGCGGGGAGTGGGGTGTGATGGACACGACTGCCTGTCTTTGGGATGATGGCACTTCGTTCCCTCTAGACACCCGTGAGGGGCCCTGGAATAACCAGCTGCACTTCGCCAGGAGCGCGCAAAACAAAGGTCACCGCCGATCCAAAATGATGCCTCCTTGGAAGGACAGCGGGGCATGGAGGACCGTGTGGGTCAGCGGGCACTGGGCTGGGCCAGCCGGAAGAGCCAGGGACAATGGCAAGAGAAATGGTAGTAAGGACCTAGGGGGCTGAGGGTGTAGGGGAAGGAGGACAGGCTGTTATTATGTAAGGGCGGAGAAAGTGTTAACTCTGGGAGTAATGGAAGTGAAACAGGGCTGTGGTGACATCTGTAAAACCACAAACATGAATTGTTCACCAAATCGCAAATATGGGATCTAGGGGATATAGCCTTGGAATCTAAAAGCTGATGCCATCCAACAAACTGAATTGTTCACCAAATCGCAAATATGGGATCTAGGGGATATAGCCTTGGAATCTAAAAGCTGATGCCATCCAACAAACTGAATACCGAAGAGAAGGAAGCAAGTCCCTGCCGTCACACTTATGTCCAGGCGCTGTGACTAAGTTGGAGGGCTTCTCCACAACCCACTCCAGAAAAGCAGCAGATTTCAGGGTCAAGGGAAAAGGTCAGAAAACTACCCTGCATTATTCTGGTCATTTTCAGAGAGATTTGAGGATTCTCCTGTGGGGCTCTCCCTTTACACTGAGTGCAAGGATTATATATTCTCTTCGGAAATTTCTTGAGCCACATTAAACACAAGGCAGAACCTTAATCTTTAAGTATCAGAAAAGACATTAATGGAATGGAAGTAAAGCCACAGGAAAATACAGCAGTCCTCAAATAATGTTTTGTTCAACGTCATTTCTTTATATGGAAATATAATGAGGAAAAAAATTGATGAGGGAAAAAACCCTCCGGTTCCCTGCCAGGGTTACTGCCCGTGTGGGTTCGCATGTTCTCCCCACGTCTGCGTGGGTTTCTCCCAGAACTCTGATTTCCTCTCACATCCCCAGGATGTGCACGCGAGGTGAACTGAGTATCTACACTGCCCCAGGCTGAGTGAGTGGAGGTGTGTGCGATGTGTCCTGCCATGGAAGGGCATCCTGTACAGGGTTGAAAAAAAATATCTTACTTGTTTTTATTAATTTTTCTTAAATGTATGTATAGCTCACATTTATTTCAATGTTTAATATTAGAAGTGTTTTGGGTTTTTATTTAGAAGTTTGTTGATGTTTCTGTGACCAGAAATATGCCGTAGGAACATAACTCTTGCTTGTATCAATCAGCCTGTGGAAAATTTGGTTTTCTTAGAGTTGCTTTGCATAAAATTGCAGTTTCCAAGAAACTATAGATGACATTAAGTGAGAACTTACTGTAATAGTCCAATATAGGGATATGGATTAGCTAAATTAGCAAATTAATGCATTAAAATTATTAAATATTATTTTGAAAACTTTAGCAACATGATAAAAACTTCAGATGGTTAAGTGGAGAAGAATTAGAATCATAAAATTATATCTAGCATATGACACACGATTATAACTGTATGTCACTGACGCGTGCAAATGGGAACCAAAACTGGTAGAAAACTTCGAGAATAAAATTTCTTTTATAGGAAGGTGAAAGTATGGGTAAAACCTGTATCCCATGAATTGTTATAATGCTATTGGATTTAAACAATTTTAGAGGCTAGAAAAAAGTTAGAACTCATTTTTAAAGGGCAGAATGTGGGTCAACTCTAATGTGTGTACACTTAACAGGAAACTGGTGGGTGAGAGACAAGTACTTAGGAGTTTTACAATTTCCTAGCTTGTGGACAGGGACTGTGTTTTACTGACTTTTCTCCCTAACAATGCCATGTACACAGTGAGATAACCCAGTAATTTGCTGAGGTTTAATTGCTTCTGGAAGGCTTCTGACTTAATTTAGTTCTCAACAGTTAGAGAACAACTGAGAAGTTTGAGTTCATTATGGGGAAAACTAATCACTTTCCAAAGTATAAAATTCCAGATTGGATATTGTAGACTGTAGACCTTCCCAGAGTATTCTTATCCTGCTCTCAACTCTGGGCTTGTTCTCCCCAGAATTCATGCTCTACCTTCAGGTTCCACATCAAAGGTAGGTTCAGGCAGGCTCTCCACAGGCCAGCGGCCCCGAGCTATGGTGGGGGCGCTCCTCCACCTCCACCTTCACCTCCACCTCTACCTCCACCTCCACCCTAGCTGTCTTACCAGGGTCCACAAGTGCCAGCCGCTTGTCCCGGGACAGAGATGCTCTCTCCTCCTGGTTGAACATTCTGTCGATCATCACCATCTCAGCAGAAGGATTAATACGCTGAAAAGGAGAGAGTTCAGTCATTTCAGGTACCTTTTAACAAGTGCAAGTCTCTCCCTGCATCTTTGGAACAACTGAAGCAGTCTGAAATGAGAGCTTAATGTCTAGATTCCAGTCGTGTCCCATTTAGTCATATTTCTCCTTGCCACATAGGATGCATTATTTAAAAATTGTATTATTGGGGAAAGGTAATCTACACATTGGTATTAATGGGGATGGAAAAAGTAAGCCTTTGTTCTTCACCTCCCTGTGCCCTCCTCCCACCCCTAGTGTCTCTCCCTGGAGGCACCTCCAGGCCTACTAGTTTAATACACTCTTCCAGAAATATATAATGCACATATACACATTCATGTCCTTATTTTTTTTGGTATATTTTGCACACAAATAGTAGCAACAACACACACTGTTCTGTACCTTTCTCAGTATCCTTTCTCCTAATAACATGTTGGACATCTTTTCATTAGAATGACCTTTTACTTTATACTCTGCTTTGTGTTTTTTATTAGGGCTTTCCTTAAAGTTAGTTTATGTCGTATAGAATCAAATCTTAAATTACATTTCTGGGTCATATTTAACATGAAAACTCATGGCAGATACAATTTGACCAAACAAATATTCCTTTCCTCAAAAATGATAGTCTTGCCCGGCCAGGCGTGGCTCAGCGGTTGAGCTTCGACCTAGGATCTAGGCGATTCGATTCCTGGTCAGGGCACGTGCCCAGGTTGCGGGCTTGATCCCCAGTTGGGGGCGTGCAGGAGGCAGCCAATCAATGACTCTCTCATCATTGATGTTTCCATCTCTCCCTCCCTCTCCTTTCCTCTCTCAAATCAATAAAGATATATTAAAAAATAATAATAATAATTAAAAAAAAGATAGTCTTTTTGATGTCTCAGAGTTTTGTTTTAGAAATGGTTGTCAATATAAGAACAACCATTTCAGACTTTGGAGGCATAATTTTAAGTAAAAAGATATTAGTATTATATAATATATTTAAATATATATATATATTTAAGTAAGCACAAACACACATACTTACATATTTCCGCTATCGTGTATATGTGTATAATGTAATTCAACTAATCCCCAAGGTACATTTCCAAAGTTGATCTTAAATTGAAAACCACTGTAAGAGGTCTATTTATAGGTTAAAGCCCATATGATTTTAGAACTGCTTCTAAAATCTCAGACTAGGTTTGGTCTTTCCATCATTTTCTGAGGCTTCTTAGTCCTTCCTCTAATTGGTGCTTTAAAACCAATTTTAGTTCCCATTTGAGGTGATGAAATGTTCTGGAATTAGTGGTGATGGTTGTGCGATCTTGTGAATATACTAAGAACCATCAAGTTGTACATTTTAAAATTAAGTGTGAATTTTATGTCATGTTAACAATCAGTTAAAAAAAAGGCAGCACTAATTGTAACATCTGTCATCACCTAGTCTTTTCCGATGTCGCTGTGAACAACCTTCACTGGCAGTGCCCCTGGGCCCCCCACCTCTCTGGGCCGGTGGGAGGCAGCACAGAGCGTCAGAGTGGGGACCAGGGTGTCCCGTGGTCCTGGGCTGTATCCTGGCTCTGCTAATTATCCTACAAACTTACAAGCTATACAATCCTGGGTGAATTACTTAACCAGAGCCCTAGGTTCCTCATTTGGAACAACCACAGTAGCGCTGCTGGTGATCGACCAAGTAACACGCAATAGATATTAGCAGCTGTGAGTAGTAAGTCAAGTGTAAGGTTTTCTACAAACTTAATATCTGTGCCTTTTAAACTATGCTGGGAAAATTCCTTGAGGTTTTTCTCTCAGAATCAGTAGCTGTGACCTGTAGAGTTTAAAAAGCAAATGTGCTTGGTAGCAGTTTACCATGGCGTCTTCTAGGAGCAGGCATCTGTACTTGTTAAGCATAGCTTGGGTCCTTTTCAGGAGCTGAGTGGCAACTGTTTCAAATTCATTGTCGACTGTAAAAAGAGAGAGAAAATAGTGAGTAGTGAGCGAGTGCAAACCACCACAAGGTCTGTCATTTCTTAGGACTGAAATGCATTAGTCTTCCATTGTTCAAGCAGGTCTTGTCTGTAGCAATTTTCTCTCTCAGATTAGCTTTTCCGTGATTAAACATCATGCTTCTGCACTGCCTTCCGCATTCCCCACTGGTATGTGATCATGGAAACTCAGTTCAATACTGGCTTTTATTAACCTTATATAAGAAGCCATACACACAGTATTTTTAACATCACCCGTAAAAGAAAACCACATTACACAGACTAGCAACAAATGTCAAGCTTCTGCTTCCTTCCAGTGGTATGAAAACTAAAACAGTTGAAACAACGAAGTCCTACATCAAAGTAGCTCATAATCTCTTGCAGGCCATGGTGCTGTGGCTCTGTCCTTGTCTGTTGGTCTCCAAAGGTCTCACATTTTATGCTTCACTCTTCTCAGAGGCTTCAGGTCCCTGTTCAATGCTGGATCTGGGCCTATTCCCTGGACCTCCCAGGGAAGCTCAGTGTGGACTGACCAAGACCATGACACTCAGATCAGAGGCCCCAGCTGGGGAGCAAGACTGGCAGCTGAGGGAAGGGTGAAAGCAGTGGCGGGGAGCTACCGGAGTGAAGGCGTGGGAATGGTGGTGGGCAGGAGGGTAGAACTAAGCTGCACAGCTGGGAGAGGAAGCAGGCCCAGGCATGAGAACGGGGAGTCCTAGGCTGGAGGAAGGAGTCCTTATCCTTAACCCCTTTTTGCCAGTTTCTTGATACACTGCAATGCCCTGGACTCACTCTGGAGCCTCTAAGAATGCTTTGGGGGCTAAAGGATCGGTCTAACTCATAGATCTGGTAGCAGGAGCTAACTCTACCTAAACACAAGGACAGTGCCTGAATCGCTGAGCAGAGCACCCAGTTCAGAGCCGTGCCACCTGCAGCCAGCAGCTCAAACAATGCTGTGCGTTCACTGCCCCCAAAACGCGTCCATAAAGACTCTGGCACTTGGGTATCCTTTCCCAGAATACCAAGAAGAGTAAGTCACAACCCTGAACACAGACTGGGAAACGGAGAAAACCGGGAACAAGTCAGGCCTGTGATTAAAAACAATAANGGTGTTCACCGCCCCCAAAACTCGTCCATAAAGACTCTGGCACTTGGGTATCCTTTCCCAGAATACCAAGAAGAGTAAGTCACAACCCTGAACACAGACTGGGAAACGGAGAAAACCGGGAACAAGTCAGGCCTGTGATTAAAAACAATAACCTGGCTAAGGGCTGTCGCTCTTCTGTGGGGCATCCACAGAGGGCGCCTGGTGTCAAGGTGGCCTGCGGGGTCACGGCCTGTTTACCTTTCCTCAGGTCCTCGTCCGTGGGCATGGAGCCCTGGCACACGTGGTAGGAGAGCAGCCTCTGCACCGCGTCACTGAGTGATCGGAACTGACTTTTATCGGGCGTCACGGCGTGGGCTTGGTCCCTCTGCACCTGCTGGAGAATGCTTCAAAGGGGAAACCGCCTGTCAGCGCAGAGTCACGTGAAGACACTGAGTCCCCCAAAACAAAGGAACTGAATCCTCCACATGCAGAGAGAGTGCGACACACAGGAATGCTGTNCCCCCCAAAACGAAGGAACTGAATCCTTCGCATGCAGAGAGAGTGCGACACACAGCAGTGTTGTTATTCATAGTGTAGTAGTTCTGTCTTTCCTTCGATTTCACTCTGTATACCGGGGGTGGGGTGGGGTTAGAGTTTGGTCTTACTGTCTCCACAGGGGACGCAAACCCTGGCCCTGGCCTCAGAAGCACAGTGTTCTCACCAACCGTTCACGCGTGNGTGGGGCGCGCACAGACCTGGGCAGTGCTGAGCACTGGCCGGCCACGCTTATGCTAACATTTCTGTTCTGAACACAGGAGCTTGGCAGGCCACGCTTCTCAGAGGCACCTGGCCAACCAGAGGGGACGTGGTAAGATNCTTGGCAAGGCCACGCTTCTCAGAGGCACCTGGCCAACCAGAGGGGACGTGGTAAGATGGCAAAGGTCCCTTCTCCTTAAGAACCGAAGAGCAGACAGGCTCAAACTACACTTGAGATATTTATAGGTCCTAATGGAAACAAACTATAGGAAGAGATTTTCAGAGTATATATATATTAAAAAAAACTTTTTAAATATATCTTTATTGATTTCAGAGAGAGGAAGGGAGAGGGAGAGGAAGAGATAGAAACATCAAAGATGAGAGAGTCATTGATCGGCTGCCTCCTGCACGCCCCCTGCTGGGGATCGAGCCCGCAACCTGGGCATGTGCCCTGATGGGGAATCGAACCACGATCACCTGGGTGCTAGGTCGACGCTCAACCGCTGAGCCACGCCCGGCCAGGTCGAAGTATATTTTAAAAAATACTCTCCATGTTATTACAGCCTGACTTCTATNACGATCTCCTGAGTGCTAGGTCGACGCTCAACCGCTGAGCCACGCCCGGCCAGGTGGAAGTATATTTTAAAAAATACTCTCCATGTTATTACAGCCTGACTTCTATTGTGTATGTATTGAAGGTCAGAAACCGAGAAAAATGTGCAAAAGAGCCACCTCCGAGGCCACTCACAGAGCTCCTTTAGTCAGCTGTTTTGCAGCGGGCCTCTTGTGTCCTCCGGAATGACCATCCACCTACGGACAAAACACACCTCTTTAATTCCCTTTTGTTGAAACATAAGCTCAATACAGTCACATGTCAAGGTCACTATGTTTTGAATACTTTCAACTCCCTGTCGAGCATATTCTAGGAATGTAGAACTTGACCTGCTAAAAACCAAAATGAGCAAGTCCACAGACCCACGCAGCAAAGCCGCACAGTGTCGAGATTACCAAAAGCTGAACCATCAGTTCCTCAGAGGGACTCAGCTTGGACTGAAAGCCTGAACTCCAAACTCCCTGTACAGATGCATCATTATATTTTTGAAGAAGTGTATTTGTGAGTACCAACTCCACGAACATCTGAAAATTCAGGAGACATTACTTAATCCATCTTCTCAGTGGTCAGTAGGGAGCAAACACTTTTGAGCTCCTGTTTTACAGTTAAATGTGGAATCTACTAGGCGTTTCTATATCACATTAAGGAAACAAATACGCCTACATCAGAACCTGAGAACTGAACCAGATCCTTCGCCGAGTGGTCCAGGCAGGCGTGCACTGTAACAAGTTTCATTAAACTACTAATTGCTAAGTTTGATGGGGGAGAAACTAAGGCCTTAGTAAGCTGAAAAAAACCCTTTTTTCCCTTTCTTTTTAGATCAGTGGTTGAGTTCAAAAACCACAGGGACTACTTCATACATTCCTGGTTGTTACTGCAGAAAAAAACAACACCTCTCAGGAAAACTAAGAGGAACAGATCCACTTTTGATCTGATAGTAAGTGGTATCATTCAATAGTAAACTACATTTTTTGAGTACCCACTCTGTGTTGGATGCTGATATATTATTAATTCACGAAAAAATGATAGCTTTGTAAACGTGTGTGAAACAATAGACCCACTCATCCTATAAACATCAACATAGCAAGGCCTGGACCGCGGGGAAGGTCTTCAATGAGCACTTCTGTGGACACACAGGCAACTGGGCCGACCGTGGAGACAATGCTGGGCGGCAACAACCGAGAGAAGGTGACAACTACATTTTCTTTCAAATATGCTAACCATTAGAAGAAGCTACGAAAACTGTGTTCTACCTGCACAGCTGGTTGGCCAGGAGACGCTCCAACTACTTTCTCCTGCTGTGGTTGTGCGATTCCTAAGGACGCTGGTATAACTTTGCTCCCAGAATCCTGTCCTATTAGAATTAACATATAAGAAAGATGTGGTTCAACAGAAATAGTAAATCAGGCCCATCATATAACCCTAGAGTCCAATGTATACAGATTATGGAACATTCTGGAAGGGATTTATCTATCATGGATGCTTAATATGAGAAAAGAGAGCAGGAAATACATTTATCTACAAAAGCTCTGGAGGCAGAGGCAGGGATTATTAAAGCCCATTTAGGTAATTCGTAGAAATAAATACATAAATAAATAAGTAAATAAAAGCTGCCAGTGCTGCAGTTTCAAATTATCCAAGGTCTGAGGAACAGGCTCAAGCCAGGAATCTGTCGGTATTACCAAAATCCAAACTACAACTTAAGGACAGGAAGGCCCCAATGGGGCTGACTAGAGTGTACATGCTCTTGTCTTTCTGGTTCTTACTGAGCAATGCAGGTGTTCAAAGCTTTAGAAAAAATGGGAACACAGGCCACAATATTTTTAGTCTTGGGGGATTCTAAATATATACAGATAAAGCAACATGAGGATAATTACAAAGTCAACTGGGCCATATAATACTAAATTTTGTTGTTTCTAAGCAGCACATTTTTTTCACATAATTTAATTACAAGCACTTTTTTCTTGCTTAGTAGTATATAAAATGATGCTACAGGTGCAATGTGGAGAGGATTCAGAAGAAAGGATCAGAGTAGAGGTGAGACTGAGTCAGAAAGATTGTATGCAGAACGAGGGATGCGAGAAGGGTGTGCTTGGGTGTCGGGAGGGTGGGGATGAACCGAGGAGAGCTTGTGACGAAGGCTCCTGACCTGGCAGTGCGGTGCTCAAGAGGCCAGGCATCTGTGCTTGCCTCAGGCCATCGGGGGTCTTGGAAGCAGAAATGGGGGAAGTCTGATTCAAACATTTTTTCTGAGCCTGTCAAAAAATATTACCAAGATGGAAAAATTAATTGCATGATTAAAAGCTTTAATAGATTACTTAAAATGCCAACCAAGCCCGTTAATGCCTACTTGGTCACCTGAGGGTGACCTCAGGTTAGATCACAAAACACGGCACAAGTTGTGCGACACTCTCCTGTCACACTGGAGAACTGAAGAGTAGCCTTTAAAGCTGCAGGCACACTGGGCTGTTCAGACTGCTCGGCAGGGAGCTGGGGTGACACCAGGCTGCTCTCCTGCTCACCGACCGTGCTCACGGTGCCCTGACAAGGCTGAGCCAGGAAATCACTCCGTCTCTGTCCCCGGGAATTTTACATCACACCTGCGAGGACTGACCCTGACGATCCGCCTCAGCACAGTGTCTGCCCTGGCTCCGGGCACCTGTTCAGGGCCCAGGCACCAGCCCCAGATCTACGGCCAGCACCCACTGTTTCTCCTGTGCAGATGATCTAAAGTACACTTCACCCCTGCCGCCGGTCTGCTTCTATTCTGGGTCATGTCAACATCGGGTGGCATGTGACTGGGAAATGTAAACTCAAGCGACTACGTGCTTCTTTTCTACAAATGAGGAAAATGAGTTGGATGACGCTTAAGGATTCTCAAGTTCCTTTTCACTAAAAAAAAAAAAAAATCTGTTATTGCTATAATTCTTTTAAGGTAAGACAATAAAGGGTTTTTAAATTACTTTCAACTTTTAATGCCTTAGGTTTTCAGAGGTTTTACTTCAGTCTCATATTTTGTACAGTGGATTTAGAGTTTAGTTTAACCACCTCCTCGGGGGCCTTGAACTATTACGTTGGCCTAAGTGGAATGTTCTCACCAACCATTCATGTGTGGGCGCTCACACAGATCCTGGCAATGCTCATGCTAATTCTGTTCTAAACAATTAGTTATCTATTTGTTTCTTTTTTCTAATATAAAAATGGAGAGGGGTTGGACCTCACCCAAGAAAGACTGGAGGAGGTCCTTAAAAGTCGGAAATGGTCCCCTTGTTCATCTTGCCATTAGCAGGGAAGGTGAGACCTACACCACTCTAGGTAGACAGGTAATCAGTTCTTAGTAAGAAAAGCCTGAGGGGAAAATTCTACAGTTTTCATGCATTGCCCCCAGAATGTAAGTCCACACTCTCCCACCACAGGGAATCACGTCGCCCGGACACCATGCGGTGGAGAGGCCTGGGACAGGCGGTGAGTACAGGCCTCCCTCACAAATATTTCCAGGGATAAACACTGAGGGCCACTTCGAGGAAGAAAGGAAACAGATAAAAGTTGGAAAAATGCAGTTCAACAGGGCACGGCTACGCATTAGGTGGGACTCTGAGATAACAAGGTCATCAGATGAACAGAGAAACCAGAATTCCTATGTTCCAACGGCCACAGTCCTTACAGCAGTGTGGCCACACACAGCGCTGGGAGTTTCTGTCAATGTGCCTGGCACACGTCGCCCAGAACAACGCCACCCTCCCCGCTTTAGGGCACACACCTTTTGTTTTGAGAAAATGCCTTCCCACCTTATTTATCAGAATGACCTGGCATGACTCTTAGCTATTAAACAGACAAAACAAAATCCAGGCATCCGTTAGGTAGTAAAACAATAAAAAAAAGCAAGAAAGAGATCTCTGTGAAAGTCAGAAGATGGGGTTGAGATTGGGGAGGCACATGGAGGGGCTGGTTTCTGGGGCTTCTGATAATATTTTCCTTCTTGAGTGGTTACATGGATGGGTATTTGTTGACTGTACATTTATGCTTTATGCGTTTTTCGAAATGTGTTCTGTTGCACAATACAGACGAGTAATAAAAAGGAGAAACCAAGAACAATCTAATCCAATGTCAAAGCTGGAGAAGGTGCCATCATTTGAGGGGACAGAGCACGGTCACGTCTGAGAACATGGTTGGATCTGCAGAGGCCGTGTCTCTTCTCAGGGCGTTTGAGCTAGTGTTTCGCAGCCCCTGGCTGGCCCGTGTGGGGGTGGGCGTTGGCCCCTGTGTGCCTTCATTCCCTCCTGCCTGTGCCCCTCACTGCGTCCCTTCCCTTGGGACTAGGGCAGTCAGTCCCGCTGTTACGCTGTGGGGGGAATGGAGAGGTTGGGGTGGGGTGGGGAGGGCCAGGGTGGAACCTGGTCTGACTTGGTCTGGCCCCTGCACTGGGATCGCTGTCACCAGGTGTGCACGTTCCGAAAGCTCCGCCCTGTCCCCAGGAGAGCACCGGTTGCTCCCAGTCCACTTATCCTCAGGGCAAGACTTCTGTTCACTGCTGTACCCCCAGCGCCAGAACAGGGCCTGGCACCACAGTGAGCATCCAGGAAACAGCTGTTAAGTAAAAATGAGCGAGGGGCATTTGAGATCTTGCTGCCCGGAATATGTCATCAATTTGGCTCAAATAAACTCTTCTAAAAACTATCATTAAAAAAAAAAAAAGTGAGTGAATGAATGCCACTGCAGCAGAAGTCACAGGGGCCTGGGCTCCCAGGGCAGCCGTCTCCTCCCCGGGAGTCATCGCCTTTCTCTGCCTGTGCTCACAGATGAAAATATTCCAGAAATAACATTTAGCATTCTGCTGTTTTTACTGAACTATTGGAGAAGACCTGCTCTTGAAATATATTTTCTTCACAAATAGAGAAGCTACTTAAGGATATTTTGTTGAGCACTTGGCTTCAAGAACCCTGCTAATATCAATGTACAAGTTTAACTCTTTAGACCCCCATGGATTACCTCTGTGATACAATTTAAAAGAAGCCAATTACAAATTAAATGATACAACCAAAAGTTTGGTCATCAATTCATCCTTTGGGTTGATTTAGGACCAAAATGGGGAACTGTGAACAAAATGTGGCACTGGAAGGTAACCTTGCAGGGTGATCTGATCATAAATTCCTAAGTGGGCAGGTCATGGTGGGTAGCCATACTCCAGGCTTATAACTTTTTAGTAAAAGGTTTATCTTTGCCTTAAGTAAGCCGTCCATTGTTTCTGTGCATCTAGGTTAACATACTTTTGAAATAATCCATAGCCACCCAAATGAGCACATAAACTTGTTAACTATCTTGTAATTCAATCCTCGCCTTGCTTTCTCCCATCTCCAGGTAACCTTTCTTACATTCCACCTTAATCTCAAATGCATAAAAAAGCTGCAAAGCAGTTATTTCTGGGAGCATCTGAGCTCTTGCTCCCAGCATATGTCCTCAGTTTGACTCAAATTCTTGAGTTTGTTCTAAAAATTAAGAACAAACAAACAAAAAATTAGCAAGATGACATTTATCCAACAACAGGCATTTGCTGAATGAGGGAGACCATTTAGGATCTGCCCAATCACACTCTCCTCTGGGAAATGTCCCATTGCCACAAAAATGTGTCAGCCAGCAAGTTTAGAGAACACACAAAGATGTGTTACTTGCCAGAGGGTGTGAAGGGCCAAAAGCCAGGGAAGGAGCACCTTTTTTTTCCCATCTAAAAGTGCCAAGCCTGCCCTGGCTGATTTGGCTCAATGGTTAGGGTGTCAGCCCTCCGACTGAAGGGTCCCGGATTCAATTCCAGCCAAGAGCATGTACCTCGGTTGCAGAGTGCGGGAGGCAATCAATCGATGTTTCTCTCTCTCCCTTCCACTCTCTCTGAAAAGCAATGGAAAAAATATCCTTGGGTGAGGGTTAAAAATAAATAAATAAAATTAAAAAAAATAAAAATAAATAAAAGTGCCAAGCCTGCCAGTGGAGTAAACAGTGGAGCAGAGAGGTGTCTTTTTAAATTTTGGCTCAGGAGCACTTTCTCCTATTTGAACAAAGGCCCGGTATAGAGCAGCAGAGGCCCTGCATAACTTACTCACGTCACCCACAGCCCTGCTCCTCTGACCACAGGGGGCCAATCAGATCCTCTCCTGGAAATTTATAATGGGGGCAGGTGGGGAAGGAGAGGTAAATACCAAGAGCAGTGGTATACATACACACACACACACACACACACACACACATTTTATTGATTTCAGAGAGAGGAAAGGAGAGGGGGGGCGAGAGATAGAAACATCAATGATGAGAGTCATTGGTCGGCTGCCTTCTGCACGTCCCCATGCTGGGGATTGAGCCCGCAACCTGGGCATGTGCCCTGACCAGGAATCAAACCTCAGTCTCCTGGATCATAAGTGGATGCTCAATGGCTGAGCCACGCCAACTCACATGTGAGCAGTGGTTCTTTAATGCAGGTTTATAGACTGATTGTATCAAGATCAACTGGGGAGCTTCTGAAAGACAAAGTTTCTGGGTTCCAATCACAAAGATCAATTCAGAAATCCAATGTGGGGCTTAGGAATTCGTAAGTTTAGAAAGCTCTCCAGGTGATTCTGATGCATTGCTAAGTCCTGGAAACCAGTGCATTTGTAGTCTCCGTTACGAGCTTGGGTAACAATGGAAAGCTGGCCTGGGTGGCCATTTAGGTCCCGAAGAGTGGCAGAGAGCAGTGAAGGACAGCTGAGAGGCCATTTCAAGGAGGCCGAAAGAACAGCAGAGAGCATGCTTTCCCACCCTTATATTTTCCTACTATATTTTCTGGACATTCCCCCTTTTTCTTGCTAAACGTGTTAAGAGTGAGTTTCTGATAGTTGCAACCCAAAGTACCTTGACTGAGACCTCTGGGTGTTAGCTGTGTATACAGCGCTGTGGTAATCACAGAGAAGGCAGCTGAAGAATCCAAGCACGGTCTTGCCCTCTGAAAGTTTCCCATCCAGAAACATCCAGGCCCCTAGGACGCATCCGATCAGCGCCCTGTAATTATGGTGGCCAACCTCAGCTGGACCCTCTTGCCTGTCCAGCATTCCTTTCCTTGCCCTGGCTGGCTCCTTTGCTCATTTCCCACTGAATGCTATTTCATTATTTTCAAACCTGTAAGCCAGGTGAGAACTCATTTAACTTTCAAAGCTACCACCTTGCCTGCACCCCCTCCCATCCTTTCCCTTCACTAGTTACAATGGAACAGGCATCCCTCCTTTCTCCTACAAAGAATCCCACCAGTGCTCTAGAATTCATGTCCTTCCCCTCCGTCAGCTTTGAAAAAACCTCAAGCCTTGCCCTTACCTTAATAATTCCCGTGACCCCACACGTCCTTGTAGCTACGGCCGTCTGTTACCTCCGTTTTCCTGAAAGTTGTCTGCTCTCATGCCCACACCTCCCACTCTCCCCTTGGCCTACTGAGCTTCTGCACCTATCACTCCCTGGAAACAAGTCCTACCAAGGCCAACTACTGCCTCCTTATTGCTGAATCTGTCGGCCACGCTCCGGTCCTTACCTCCAGTGACTTCTCAGACACTTCACTCTGTGGCCCTCTTTCCTCCTTCCTGCAACATTGTCTTTCCTTCGCTCCCAAAATGCTGGGCCCTATTTGTTTCACTCCTCCTTTCTGGAACCTTCTGAGTCTCCCTGTGGACTCCTCTTTCTGTGTCCATCCTCTAAGTGTTGAGGTGCTTTGGGGGTTCTTTTCCAGCGCTTTTTCTCCTCTACTTACACACTCTCCCTGATCCATTTCATTCACTTCCACTGCTTTGGTGACAACTTACACGCTGGTCAATCCCATTTCAGGCCCATCTCTGTTGAAGGCTTTAGTATATAAAGCTGTTTATCCCACAGCTTGGCTGTCTTACAGGTACCTCAGACTTGACACACACAACCTAAACTCCTAGCTTCCCTTCAAACCACATGCTCTATCTCAGCGAACCTGCTGTCCCCGCCAGGAACCTGTGGGTCACCCTTACTCCTCCACTATAGCCAACCGACTGAAAGTTCTACCTCGCCTACCTCGACCCATTCACTTCTCACCATCTCTCTGCCACTAGGCTGTCTAGGTCTTCACTCTTTCACGCTCAGATTATGACACTGGCTCCTTCACATGACAGAGAAGGTCCTGGATGACTGGGTCCTTGCTTGCTTCTCCCACCTAAACCTTCCGCACCTCACCTGAATGTGTTTTCCTCCTGCCCCCCCTCCCCCCGCAGTACCACGGGCTCTTCTCTCTCCAGGCTTTGCACTCGCTGTTTCCATCGCCTGGCCATTCTTCACTCAGACCCTCTCTTGCTGGGTACGTCTTCCTTCTCCTTCAGAAGGTCTTGGTCAAAAAACAGTCTCAAGGAAAAACCTTCCCCAACCACCTCCCTTGGGTTAGGCTCCTTTCCGGAGCCTGGCGCGTGGGACTACTTCTACCTGAGCACTTCTACACCCGTGTGGCTGCTGGCTTATCTGTCTGCCTTGTGCCCTGAAACAGATTATTGTGTCCCTGGGACGTGCCCCAGGGCTGGCTGTGGTAGGTACTGAAATACTACTGAGTGACTGAATCAATAAAGGAAACATTTAGCACAGTAAGTGATTAGGCATCTAGTGGGCAGGACAAAAAGTGCAGAGAAGAAATCAAGGGACAGACTGAAAAAGGCTTTATTCTTCTGGGGGCTTTGGGTGGGGCCCTGAAGGAGGGAAAGCACTGAGACCTGATAGGAAAGGCCAGAGTTCACATGAGCCTGGGATTTCAGGCATAATGGGGTTGGCCTGGCTAACTGGAGAGTTTCCAAGTGGAGGCAGAGATATGTGCTTTCTCCTGGGGCAACAGGAAGCTCCCAGATGATTTGGTTCAGGTCACCATACACATGTTTTAGGAAGATGAATGAGGTGGAAATTGGGCTTTCCAAAGAGAGCAACAGCAGATTAATCATCCAGGCAATTGTTACAGTTGTCTGATTAGGTTATGAATGGGCCTTGAAAAGCATCTAGCCCAGTGGCTCTCTCTCCTGGCTGCACTTTAGAATCCCTTGGGGAGCTTTTGAAAAATGCTGATGCCTAGAGCCCTGTCTCCAGACTGTTTGAATCAGAATTTACGGAAGTGAGGCCCAGGCAACCATATATTTTTAAAAAGCTCCCTGGATGATTCTATTGCACTGCTAGGGTTCCTCATTTTTGAAGAGAGAAATCTAGGGCTCAGAGAATTAAGAACTTAGACCATAAAACTAGTCAGTGGCAAAGCAGGACATACAAGTGAGCGCTGAATCCTAATCTAACTGTTGTTTCTCCCAGTATATTGCAATCCTTTATTGAAAAAAAAATTTTTTTAATTGATTTTTTTTTTTAAGAGAGAGAGGAAGGGAAAGGGGGAGAGACAGAAACATCAATTCGAGAGTGGAACATTGATTGGCTGCCTCCTGCATGCCCCCTACCAGGGATCAAGACCCCAACTGGGGCATGTACCCTGATTGGGAATCAAACCAGCAACCTTTTGGTGCACAGGACAACGCCCAACCAACTGAGCCACATTGGCCAGGGCTATTGCAGTCCCTCTTAAAGTCTAGTTCAGGGTATAAATGTAGAAAAGGAGAGGAATGGAAAGCAATATGGTATAGATCAGTGATTTCAACCACTGTGCCACACTAAATACCTGGCTATTCAGGCAGGGGCACTGACCTCTTTTCCCTTAGACTGTCAAATAGACAAAGTGACAGCAGCCAACACAATAGCTGTCCTGTGTGAATGAATCAAAATTATACCTTTTTTTTTTTTGTCAGACTGGCATAAAATAGATTTTCTGGTGTGCTGCGCAATTTTAGTAGTTTATGTGTGCCACGAGACGTACAGGGTTGAAAATCACTGGTTCAGAGAGCTAGCAGGGAAAGTCTGCCTTTGCGAGCAACTTGCCCGTGCTCTGAACCCCTATGTCCTCTACTGTGAAAGGGGAACAATAGTGCTACTTGTAGCCCCAAGGTAAGGATTAGAAATAATACGTGTAGCTCCTGACACTGTACCTGTTGTTAATAATATGATCATGATTTTCATTCTTATTAGAAAGGATGCATATGAGGCATTCAAAGAACTTGTAGGACAGGAGTTGAAAACTTATTAAAGGTTTAGAAGGGGAGGGGAAAGCAGAACATCTAGATTTCGAAGTCTGGGTGTCAGAAGACAGTGGTGCTCCACAGTAAGGTAGGCAGGCTGAGCTAGAGAGGAAAGGGAATTCGGGAGGGGCAGGCGGGCCGAAGACTTCGGTTTCCATCACTCCCAGCAATTTGTGCCCAAAGGATGGCAGGTACTGCTCTCAAGGAATTTAAAATCTACTAAATCTTTCTGTGACCTAAGGAGACTTGGACTTAAAATAATTTGTCTACTTTTATCTACTTGTAAGTCTCCTCCTTTAATCACTGACTTTCGATTATTAATCCATTTACAAGAAAGTTTCAATCCTGTAAATTACTCTCTGCATTAAGAGATTTAAGTTCACAGGGCTCCCAGGAAAAGTGGCTGATTGTAGGTCCGAGGCAAGGTAATCATGAGACAAGCCTACAATATCTCGTGCCACAAAGCGCTCAAAGGAGATGGGAAGGTGTCAGGAGTACAGCAGCCGGCTTAAGCAGGCCTCCACTGATCAAACTTAGGACAGTCTTCAGTCTAAACCACAGTGCTATGCTGGATAAAAAAATCTTCATCAAGGAGAAAAAAGGCAATGAATCGCAAATTGGGAGCCTAGGATGAACATTATATTCTATTAGACGCAAAGCCCGCTTTTCCATTTTTGTAACCACCCAAGCATTCGTTTGATAAGGAACATACCTGACAGAAGAACTGTTGCTGGGTTCCTGCTCCAGGGGCGTTACTGAAGGTGCTGGTAGGTTTGGAAGAAGCGGCTGGAAGACGATGGGACGCACTGACCGGCACTGGAGTCCTGTTCGGCTGGGTCAGCTGATCTCCTGTGAAGCTGGATCCTGACGCACCCGCCTGGCCTGCAGACCCAAGGCTAGGATGGGCAGTGCTGGGTGAGCTGACAGGGAACCGACTGGGCCCTGACATGCTTGTCGCGGGGGGCAGGGCGGCGAAGCCTGGTCTTCCTTGGGAGACGCTGCTTTGCCCAGGTGACAGGTGTAACACTGTTGGTGACGCCTGCTGCAAGGGCATCTGTCCACCAACAATCTGAGGAGAGGCGTGATTGACTATCACTGGGCTTCCAGAGGCGGCAAACGTCTGCCCGGACACTAACTGGACGGTGTTCTGGTTGTTGAGCATCTGTCCGGAGTAGGGTTGGTTGGTCCTGAGCATGTTGGAAGGGTTTCTGTTCAACATGACATGCTCTGAGGCCACCTGGCCCGAAAGGAGCTGAGAAGGTTGAGTCTGAAGAAGTTGCCCGTTTATGGTCTGGACGTGGTGTACCGAGTTGGAACTGACGGAAAGGCTTGTAGGTACGAGGAACTGACTCTGGGGGGTGTGAGGCTGGCCCAGGGGAGAGTGAATGACGATGCTCCCCGCAGCGCTGCTCACTGGCTGTGAGGTGACTGGTTTTCTTGTGTTCTGTTGGTTTACGATGTTCACAGACATGTGCGGACCAACTACTGAGCCCTGGGGTGAGCTTGCAGAGGCGAAAGAGATGCCTTGCTGCACGTGATGCTGCTGTATTCCCAGACTGTTCACATTGTACGTATTTTGCTGACCCATCTGGATGGGCTTTGGCTGGATATTAATTGGAACTTTATTTGAATTTGGTGCAAGACCCCTTTGTATGATGATGTTATGCACAGGTAAAGATGTTTGAAAATTTGTGCTGTTAAATGGAACGGTCACAGGCTGTGCTACGGGACTGGAACTCGAGTTCCCAAACAAGGAGTTGCCATTAGGAGTCTGTCTATGAACCAGAAGCCCTCCACTCACATTGGATGGGGCTTGCTGCCCGCTGCCCTTTAATATGATTTGCGATCCATCTAGGTTATTAATAGTCATCATGGAAGGTTGATTACCAAATGACCCTATTAATTGTATCTGACCAGAACCACTAAGCTGACTGCTATTAGACAAATGCTGGCTGGGAACGCTGATCCCCACGTGCTGCATAAAGCCATGTTGCACACCCACTGTATTGCTTGCAAACGATGCTCCGACGGGCACGTGAGTCACCCCTACCGGCTGCAGCGTCTGACCTGAGTAATTAGAAACATTAGAAGCCTGAGTAAAGGATGCTGATGAAGAGGGATGAAGCTGAGCCTGTGCAAACTGCTGGCCGGAGCCTATGCTGGCGTCCAAATACGCCTCTTCGGCCAGCGTCTGCTCGGTGATATTGGCCTCCTGCAAGGATTTCTGAAGAATGTCGAAGGGTTGGTCCTCACTGAGATCAGCAAGAGGAGAAGACTCAAGCTCATCTTCCAGAAACTGAAGGCTGCTGGAAAGCGGCAGTCCATCACTGGGCCCTTCTCCAAGCTGGCTGCTCACAGCTTTGAGGGATGACTTAGGATCAGCATTCTTAAAAAAAAAAAAAAGCAATATGTTACATGGCATACCCAGCCTTTGAAGGAGATTCTTATAAAAAATTAACCTCACTTTCGAATACGAATAAAGTGCTTCAGGCACAACTCTCCAACCTGCTCACCTGATTCCGATACTGTGTTTCCTTGGTAATGATGCTGAACATTACTTTTATAATTATATACATTCATTGCTCTGGTAAATTATTTTATAGAAAATAGATAAACAAGAGGAACATAGTGACAACTACCTGGAGTTTAGCTTCATTAAAAAAAAAAATTATTCAGAGAGAAAGGAAGGAAGAGAGGGAAACGACAATTTGTTGTTCTGCCCATCCACGCATTCATTGGTTGGTTCTTGTATGTGCCCTGACCAGGGGTGGAACCCATGACCTTGGTGTGTTAGGATGATGCTCTAATCAGCTGAGCTACCTGGCCAGGGCTAGCTTCATTTTTTGAGATACTGGCACACAGACATTAATTTTCAGGATTGTTTCCAGTTCAAGGTTTAAGTGGAACTCAGCCTGGGGTGGGTGTGTATCGAGGAGACGGCCATGTCTAGTCCTTTGTACAAGAAGAGTCTAAGTGTGTTCTGGAAGCTCGGGGTGTTCTACTAGAGGTCCAGGAGGTATCCCAGATTCAGCCCTATCTTTCAAGGTTTCTCAGAACTTCCCTGGTTCGAACCCCTCACACCCACGTAAGATCAGTCCAGGAAAAACGAGCTTTCTACATAAAATGAGTAAATGGCCATGTGATTTCTTAGAAGTAATCAGCTTTCATAATGCTGGAAAAACTGCTCCAACACCTTATTCAAAAGTCTATGAACATTTATTTATCGAGCACCCTCTTATGTGTTTGTTTCTGTCCTTAAGGTGTCCTTATGGCATATGAAGAGAACATGGTCACTCATAAGTAAGATATATTCCACCAGCCAGCAGTTTTTCCTGGGATATGTTAAAATTATAAAAGAAAAGATACGGACCCTATCCCTCATCTTGGAGCCTGTGGAGGCTGCTGGGAACAGGACAGGGCTTCTCGAAGGACAAGTGTGTGCGAAGGCTGTGGCCCGAGGCCATTTTTGCTGGCTACACGTGGGGTCTCTGGAACCAGAGGGAGCACACAGCTCTTTTTTTAATCCTCACCTGAGGATATGTTTGTTTTGTTTTTTAAGTTTTTAAAATGTTTTATTGATTTTTAGAGAGAGAGGAAGGGAGAATGATAGAGAGATAGAAACATCAATGAGAGAGAAACATCAATCGGGCTCCCTCCTACGTGCCCCTTACTGGGGATCAAGCCTGAAACCCAGGCAAGTGCCGACAGGGAACTGAACCAGTGACCTGCTGGTTCATGGGTTGATGCTCAACCACTGAGCCATATCAGCCTGGCGAGGATTTTTTTTTTTTTAATTGATTTTTAGAGAGAGAGGAACATTAATGTGAGAAAGAAACATTAATCGGTTGCCTCTGGTAATGCCCCAACCAGAGATTGAACACAAAACCTAGGTATGTGCCTGTAAATTTGTTCTCTTGTTAAAAAAGAAAGATATGGAATCAACAGCTATTTAAAATAAGGTGAAGCCCTGGCCGGTTTGGCTCAGTGATTAGAGCACCAGCCTGCAGACCAGAGGGTCTCCGGTTCAATTCCCAGTCAAGGGCACATACCTGGGTTGTAGGTTCGATCCTTGGCCCCAGGCGGGGCACGTGTGGAAGGGAAACCAATCGATGTGTCTCTCACATAGATGCTTCTCCCCCACCCCACTCTCTCTAAAAAATCAATGGAAAAAAAATCCTCATGTGAGGATTAGCAAAAAATAAATAAATAAAATAAAATAAGGTGGAGACAATGTGAATGTACTTAATGCTACTGAAATGCACGCTTAAAATGATTAAGATGGGCCCTAGCTGGTTTGGCTCAGTGGTTAGACAGTCAGTCTGTGGACTGAAGGGTCCCAGGTTCGAATTCGACCAAGGACATGTACCTCAGTTGCAGGCTTGATCCCTGGCCTTGGTTGGGGCATGTGAGGGAGGCAACCAATCAATGTGCCTCTCACATCAATGTTTCTTTCTCTCTCTCTCTCTCTCTCTCTCCCCCTTCCACTCTCTCTGGAAAGCAATGGAAAAAATGTCCTTGTGTGAGGATAAAAAAAAAAAGATTAAGGTGGCAAATTTTGATATATGGATTTAACACAATTAAAATTTTTTTTAAAAAGAAAAAAATTAAAAGTAGATCCATCAAGGAGGAGTGGTCCACCGTGCAAAGCTGTAGAGATCCTCAGCCCTAGGCTGACAGGGTGTCGGGGGCTAGAAGGTGGTGATGATGTGAATGCACTTAACGCTACTGAAACGGGAACTACGTAGAAAAGCCAAGACGGCTTCATCGGAAATGAGACCAATGTGGTCTCAGTTAGCCGGGTGCCACCGTAGGATTTGAAGAGCCGCAGGTTAACCACAGTAATTTGGATATGGCCTCCAGGCAGGAGCCCCTATGCTCCAGCTCCGGTGTCTTGTCTACATGCTCCTGGAACTTGAGAATATGGGCTCCAGACCTGGTGGCCGGGTTGGAACCCCAGCTCTGCAGCTCCTCGCCGTGTAATTCTGGGGAGAACTAAGCTCTCTGTGCAACGTGGCCTCGTCTATAAAATAAGGATAATAAAAGGACCTACTTCATGGAGTTATCGGGAGAATTAATAGAGTTAATTATGTTAAACCGTCAGTGCCACGAACATACTAAATGCTCAGTAAGTTTCTGTTATTATTTTTCTTGTTTAAGATGAAAATATTTAGCAAGTAACTACAATAAAGAATAATTTATTTAAAGCTACGTAACAGGTTCAAAACATGATGTTACTACTTTCTTAGATTACAACAGTTCTGAGTCAGTTTACAAAGAAAGATGAAAGCTTAGGAAAATGGTAGAATAAATCTCATGTCGCTTGTCTTGACTAAGTTAAAAGTAGGGAATGTAAACATAATTCAATAGATTTTCCTTCCATGTCAATTACAGAAGACAAGGTAATACAGTTCTCATCAAGATACAAAGGCAAGTTAGGCCTCAATTCACAGGCATCAATGAGACAGAAACACCGACCACTGCATTGTCTCTAATACTCACACTAGAGTTGGCGAAAATTGAATTTGAATTGGCTGCAGAATATCCTGCATTAGTCAAGTCATCATTGCTCTGTAAAGGCACAAATTCAACAGTGATTACTTCAACTGTAGAGAAGAAACAAAAGTTACATCTGCGATGTGCTAAGTACTACTTACAGATTTACTACTAGGTCCATGTAGAAAATAGTTCAATGCTTGTGGGTCTCTAGAAAACAGTGAAAAGGGGGAAAGCAACAATAAATACGTTACCGATATTTAAGGATCTTTTTTCTAGGGTAAAAAGAAAATGACATAATAGCCTGAGTAAAATTATCTCCCTATTTTAAAACAATTTTATCAGTAGTTTTTGTTTTACTTTATTTTTTGATGTTGTTCTATTTCCTGTTATCACTCATTTCTACTTCCTGGGACTTGTTAGAAATAAATTTAATAAAGGGTAAATAAAACATAGCTAAGTTTTACCCCTATCATATCCGAGTCTCTACTTGTTAATCCACGCTATGATGATTAATTTTTATTTTAAAAACCCATCTGGTTTTAATATGCTTATTAGGTTGTTTTAGTGGAGCAAACCTCACGCATTTGATTCACCCTGATTTTGGAACGAGCATCTTACCCAATAAGATCAAGGAGACACGAGTCATCATCATCATCCATGACAACTACAAGAAAGGAATAAAAAAGCAGTGTTTCAGCAAGTGGATTAGAGCCGTAGCACCCATCCAACATAAAAATACACCATATACTTTCCTAGATAAATAACTACTTCATGTGAGTTTTTCCTCTAATTGCTTATTACTAACGGGATTTTGTTTGTGTGTGTGTGTGTGTGTGATCATTCAAGAGATTAAGTATTCAATTTAAATAGTTTTTATTGAACACAAATCCTCAATTTACAAGTCAACAAGAAATCTGGACAAACCAGAGAGATCTGGCAGCACCCCCTCAGGCGCAGATTCCCCCGAGGGACTGTAAACCATCAACAGCAACTTCCTCAAAAATGTATCGTGAATGAGGGGAGAAAGAGTATTTTTGTTTCAGAAAAAAATCTCACGGATACAGAGGTCTTTGAATTTTGTGACTGGATGTTTCCAAACATGGTGAGCAATCGGGATTTCTTGCCATATTTTGGCTCTCTTTAGGAAAACAGAAAAGCCCTGTCCCTCCTTTTTGAGACAGAAGAGACGCCACAGTCCAGGACAGGCTTTGCCCCAAAGGTCCCAGGTTCCTCCCTCGGCAGCAACGCTGCCAACTGTTCGATTCCAAACAATCTATATTCCAGCACTAGAAAATCTCAACCCCAATTCACCCGGCGCGGGACCCAGAACCCCCCCGCCCCAGCCAGGGCAGCCGGGCGCAGTGACGGTGGCGGTGTCCTGGCTCACACGGTGACAACCACCACCGGCGAATTCCAAGAGCAGTTCTCCCCCTCTCCCCTCCCTCCCCCGCCGTCCCCACATGCGGTAAACTCACACTAGGGATCCGACACCTGGCAACACTGCTTCACACCCATTTCGAGCCATGCGTGGAATAACTTACATCACGGAATGCGGGGGCCAAGGGTTCTGGAGCGGTTGGAAAGGGCAGAGGGAGCGGCAGTTGGACGGAGGAATGAAATCCTGAAGAGGTGCCCGGAGGAGGGACACGCCCGAGCGAGGCAGAGGGAGCATTTCTACTAACTGTGTTTTCTCCCTTAAAGCTGCCATCTCTTCTCCGCTTCCCCAGAGCGCCCGTCCAGCGGGCCACGGGGCCGAACAAATGTAAACGCGACTCCTGCGGTGCAAGGGAGCTGGCTTTCCGCAGAGAGGCTCTGCAGGGTAAGTACCCCGCGTGGGCCTTCCCGCGGGGGGCTGAGCTCGCTGCCGGGTGCCGGGTGTTTGCGACCCGTCCGAGTGAAACTCCAGGGAGAGGAGGGATGGTGTGCGGAAGGAGGGAGAGTTTATCCAGAGGCAACCTGCACGGCGACAACTGTGAGAGGGGCGGCTGGCAAGTGAAATTCGCTCTTAGGGCTAAGATGCGGAGCGACTCCAGGGCACGCTAGCCCGACTGTGCTAACCCAACTCGGCTTTTCAGGAGTGCAAACGGCCCAGGAAGGAAAACTGTTATTAAACAGATATGTAGAAATTTGGGAAGGGCTTCCCTTAAATCGGATATTTTCTATGGTAGCATTGCACTGGCCATAGCTAATTATTGTACGGTGTGCTTGTCTCCCAGGCATCAAAACTGGGTTAAATTACACAGTCACGATGTATAATTAAACCTATAAAGAGGATTTTATTTCTTTACTTCAACATGACCATTTATTTAGAGATGCACTGCACTCTTTGTGAATTTATTTTTAAGTGTTTAACAGGCTCTGGAACAAACTAATTAATAAAAATGTAAGTGAAAGATAACCTAAAAAAAACCCCAAAACCCCATCACAGTTTCACAACTACCCCAGCTTTTCTCACTGTTTACACCTGTTCCTAGTTCCTCTTGAGGACCAGATGCCCAAAGATAACAGACACACTGAGAAAGAAAGTCAGCGCCAGTCACTCCACCCAGGCGTCACTGCCACTGGGACTTTCAAACATAGAGAACACCTGCTACCCCAAAGTTCAAAGTGACAAGTAGCCCAAATAAAAACAATTTTACAATAGCGGATGCAATTAAAAGCCACTGTGCATCTTCCCCAACCAAGCCACATGGGCCGCTCAAACACCTGACTTGGCAGAACACTTTCAGGGGAATCTGCCCTGGGCAGTGGCATGGGTCCTGGCAGACAGGCCTGCCCCTCCCGCCCCCCTTGGGTAGAACTCTATGGGCCTTTATACTCAGGGACACCCTGAGAATTCTACTTTTTAAAGGGCCACACTCATTTCTGACTTAAAACAATTCCAAATTAAAAGAGGTGACCCTTACCCCTCTATCGCCAGCTTATAGAGTGACTACGATTCTGAAGCTGGAAGACAATCTGAGGATCAGAAACTGACTCAAAAGTGAAGAGCTCAGTTTTCTTTGGAAAGGTTCTCCCTTTACTTCTGAACTCTTGTTAAAGCTCTTTTCTCATTAAAGTAACAGCCCTGGAATCACTAGATGGGCCTCTGGCAACAGGTGGATTTTATGAGACTGTATGAAATATAAGTTCCCCTCTAAAGGGAAATCTCTAGATCAGTGGTTAAAAACCACTTGGCCCACAACACATGAGCGAGACACATCGCCCTCAGTGACAGCCGAGTACAACAGCAGAACCTGTCATGCACGGAAGGGGCCGTAGCTCCCTGACAGGCAGGCGCCCCAAGAGTTCAGAAATCACTGCCCCAGAGAGCTGACTACCACTCTTAAAAAATTAAAGCGAATATTTAAAATTGCTTCTGAGTCAACAAACACTTTGAATAATACCTTTAATCAAGAGAACACAGTGTATCCACTTGGCCTTTCCCACCAAAAACAAAACAAAATACAAAACAGTGTGAAAGTGACATTTCAAATTAGGAAAAAAATGTTAGCCATATAGAGGAAAGAAGGTGGGTCCATACCTCACATCTTACACAGAAATAAATTCCAGAGGAATCTAAGAGTTAAATGGGGTGGGAGTGGCGGAAGAGAACCTGTAAGTACTAGACTAACACATGGGAGAAATTGGTTTTTATAATCTTGGAGTGGGGGAAGTCTAAGTATGTCACAAGACAAAGAAATCATAAAAGAAAAGACTGACACATTTGATGACATAAAATTTAAAAATTCTGCATGGTAAAAGAAAAAATCATAAATAAAGCCAGACTGAAACACCCAGAAAACTTAAGTGGGAAGTATACCTCCAACTCATATCACAAAGGGCTCTTCTCCTGACACATAAAGAGTGGCTATCAATAAGAAAAAAAAAAAAAAAAAAAAAAAGCTACCTTGCAGAAAATCAAGGGGTATGAATAATTAATTCATAAAAAAAGGAAAGACAGGTAGCCCTTAAATGTATAAAAACAATCAACTTCACTTCGAATAAGAGAAGTTATATAGCAGTCCCCCTTATCCATGGTTTCTCTTTCCATGGTTTCAGTTATCCAAGGTCAACCTCAGTTCAAAAATATTAAATGGAAAATTCCAGAAATAAACAATTGGTAAGTTTGAACTTGCACGCTGCTCTTAGGAGCATGATGAAATCTCTCGCTGTCCTGCTCTGCCCCACGAGGGATGTGACTCACCCTTTGTCCAGCGTCTGTGTTCCCCGCCCTTAAACACTTAGGGTCTCGGTGATCAGCTGGGCTGTCTCAGGAGTGCAGTGCTTGTGTTCGAGCCCCCCTTCTCTTACTTAATAAGGCCTCACAGCACAAGAGTAGTGATGCTGGACATGCCAAAGAGAAGCCATGAAGCGTATATATGTACAGGAAAAACAATATATACAGGGTTTGGTAACTATCCACGGTTTCAGGCATTGGGGGGCACGATTTGGAACATATCCCCTAACACATCCCCTTGTGGATAAGGGGGGCTACTGTAAACTAAAACTACATGAGACACCATTTCCTGTCAGATGGCAAAGATGAAGTTAGGTGAGGAATTATGCTGGCCAGGGAGCGGGACACAGGGATTTGTGTATCTCGGTAGTGAGAGTGTAAACTCTTAACTCCAGAGAAGCAAGTTAGCAATGCCTTTGAAAATTTTAAGTGTGCACATCATTTCACCCAGCAAATCCAATTCTGGGTGCTAGTCCTGCAGATACGCTTGCACACGTGTGAAATGACACGGGTATGAGAATATCCACATCCAGAGCAGCATTACTGGTTTTAGCAAGGCTGGAAAAACCTAGGTGTCATGGATACAGGGTTTCTTTTTGGGGTGACGAAGATGTTCTGGAGTTAAACCGCCAAATTGCACACTTTAAAGGGGTCAATTTTACGGTAGAGAAGTTATATCTGAATTTAAAAAACTTTTGGGAAACCCTAAGCATCCATAATGAGACTTGTTAAGAGAACCAAACTTTACAGTCATCCCTCTGTATCCATGGGGATTGGTTCCAGGACCCCCAAGGATACCAAAATCCAAGGATGCCCAAGTCCCTTACATAAAATGCCACGGAACAGTGCATACAGTCAGCCTTCCGCATCCATGGATTCCCAACTGTGGAATGAAAATATTGCTTTGCTTCCTGGTTAGTTGAATTTGTGGATATGAGACCCAGGGATATGGAGGGCCCATTGTATATTTATTTAAAAAATCTGTGTCTAAGTGGACCTGTGCATTTCAACACATGTTGTTCAAGGGTCAACTGAACTATGAAAATTTAAAGCAGTCTAGTGGCCTCAAGAATAATCTACATCAGCTATCTTGAATGAAATATCTTAAAGACAGTTTGATTTTCATTAAGATCACAGATTTCAAAGACCTCCAAGGCAGAGAGATAAAGGAAGATGACAGGCTATTACAACTTTTTTTTTTTCACACAGCGGTAAATAATCTGAGGTCTCATATTAAGAAACGTATTGGTTTCAAGAACAGTATTTCAGGAAAGCTGGCTAAACAAATGAACTCTGCCTATAGTATAAGCTGGTAGCAGAACACTTATAAAGTCATGACAGGATTTCAAACACTTCACAAACTGAACTTTGGTCTATGACTGCCTAACGAATGATTCTGTTCTTTCTTCTGTGCTTCTCTGTTCTGTTTCTTCTTCCAAAAACACAACCTAGTGAAAATGATTAATAAGCTAAAACTTTAAAAGACCATCAAGAGCCCTGGCAGGTTGCTCAGTGGCTAGAACGTCGGGCTGTGCACTGAAGGGTGGCGGGTTCGAGTCCCAGTCGAGGGCATGTGCCTGGGTTGTAGGGTTGATCCCTGCTCTGGTCAGGGGTG